GTTACTGGAGACTGAAACAAGAGCCTTTGCCCTAAGCTACATTCCTAGCCCTTTAAAAAATTATTTGACAGGTTCTTATTAAGTCAGTGGGTTCAAACGTGGCAGTTCTCCAGAATGCTGGGATTCCAGGAGTGCACCATCACACCTGGCTGACTGTTCCTTTGGAGTTTTTGTTTTCTTTGGTTTTGGTTTTTGGCAGTGCTGTGCCTGTGGACCCCAGGTCCTCACACATGCTACGCAAGCACTCTAGAACTGTGCTGCATTCCCAGTTCATACAGCAGGAAAATGAACAGGACAATGTACAGTGTGAACACTGACACACCATTTTCGCTTGCTTTCCTTCAGGTCACCTGATAAAAATCTGGAAATAAAATCACTAAAGCTCTTTCAATGACCCATGTAGAAATTCTACAAAATATCCAGCAATAGAAAGAAAGTCATCATTTCAATTATCAATGATACATCTCAATTGGAAGAATAAACTCACATATATAAAGATGCACGATGCTTGGCAATTGTATTGAGTTTGGACAAGTTTTTTTTTCTTTTTTTGGACAGTATACCAGGGGGTCTCACTGCATAGATCAGACTCATAGTGATCCTCCTGTTTACAGCCTCCCAAGTGCTGGGATTACAGGTGCTCACCACCACGCCCAGTCTCAATCGCTGTCTCAGCGCACCCCAGGGGGCATGCTTGGACAAGTTTTGAATAAAATATATTTTCTCTAGCTCGTTTTTGTAAGAAGCATTTTTTTCAACAATTCTTTAAAAGTTTTTCATATATGGCACATTAATATTTTATTTTTTATTTGTGGGTCTTAAAGATCTATTATTTTGATTTATAAGAAATAGTTTGAGGTGGCTGGTATTATCTTTGTCAGGTTCCGCCATGGCATCCCAGGGTCAGGGCCAGAAAGTGCAGAAGGTGGTGGTGCAGCCCATCAAACTCATCTTCAAATACTCGCAGAATAGATCCTGGATCCAGGTGTGGCTGTATGAGCAAGTAAATATGCGGATAGAGGGCTGTATTGCTGGTTTTGATGGGTACATGAACCTTGTATTAGATGAAAGAATGAATTAGAAAAATTAGAAGAAATTCATTCTAAAACAAAGTCAAGAGAACAACTGGGTAGGATCATGCTGAAAGGAGGTAACATTACTCTGCTACAGTGTCTCCAACTAGAAATGATCAATGAATTCAAATAGCAGGGAAGTGAGGCAAAGCCAATTATGGTGATATGTAAAAAAGGCAGTCGTTTAAGTGTTTTGCCCTGGGAGTGTTTGTAAAGCATTTGGTCATACTGTTTTGACACTTATGTTTTTACTGAAGGCTAATAAATGTAAAGTTGTTTTTATTTAAAAAAAAGAAATAGTTTGAAATACTGTTTAGATAATCACATAAATGATAAATAATACTTAATGTGAAAATTAATGTTTTAAAATATATATCAAAGAATATTACAATTTGCATTATAAGTAAGATTCAAATATTAAATTTACTGAGCTATTAAAAGTTATACACAAGGGCCCACCAGATAGCTCAGCAGACTAAAGCACATGCTTAGGCAGGCTCTGAGATCAGTGTTCAGTCCCCAGTGTGCTGTGCTGCCCCCACCCTCGGGGCGCACTAAGATGCAATTGACACTGAGTGTGGTAGCGCATGCCTGTAATCCCACCGTTTGGGAGGCTTAAAACAGGAGGATCACTGTGAGTCTGACCTGTGTAGTGAGATCCTGTACTAAATACATTTTTTTAAAAAGTTATAAATAAGAGAATCCAATAGAAATCTAGTTTATCTTGACAGGGTTTAAATGAGTGCTTTAAAATCCATCCTCCTTTTATATCCTGCAGATATAAAAATGATTCTGAAGATGCTCCTGAATTTTCAATACAGCACAACAGCTTATGTGCTGATGTCTATCTCATGATATACATCTATCAACACTCCTCTAGTAATCTGAAATAGAGTTCAACAATGTCACCAACTGTGATCCTGGTCTTGTTTTACCACCGAACCCTCCAGCTTCCTGCAGGAAATTATCTGCAGCTTGGAGAATGCGTTGAAGCAGGTGAAATATAATACTATGTACACAAGGCTGAGTCTGCACCCCAGTCAAGACAACCTTCTGGAAGAACTTGTGACTGACAGGTGGTTTGGGTTCCTGGCCAGACTGTGGAGGAGCATGCACCAGGCACCCACCAGACTCTTGGCAAGAGCTGAGGGGTACTGAGTAAGAAACTCAAGACAGTAAGACTACCTCAGCTCTCCCCGTATGCAGACATAGATCTACAGACAGAACCAGCAGCACCCAGGAAAGACAATGAAAGGAGAAGACCCTTTTACCACTCATGTAGGACTAATACTACTGGCCTCCCTATAACTTTCTCTTAACTCCTCTCAGTGGAAAGAGGGGTGAGATGTCTGATAAGTGAACTTGGAGATGAAATTGGTACATGCAGTTTCAGAAGCCAGTGCTTTTGTCAGTTTGATGTCTGCCCTGTACTTGGGAACTTGACTCACCACTAAGATTGTGTGGTCAGGTGGAGCATTGGATTTAAAGTCACATTATAATGGACTTTTCAGTCAAAATGATCATATTTTGATTTTCTTGAGTTTACTGATATATTTAAAATTCAAGTGGAAGACAAGATATTAGCCCCCAGAGCCAGAAAAAGATAAAATGTTTTTAACTTAACACAAGATTTGATTGTGAAATTAGCGTTTTAATTTGACATTTCAAAATTTCCAAAATATGTACATCTGATCTGTATTTTTTTAAGAGATAAAGCTCTAGCCTTATAAATCACAAGCCCATAGTATTACTTATTACCCGCAGAGGATATAATAGTGTCCAATACATTGACACATCTTAATGAGGTAATAAATGTCCAAAGGGATGGATAAGGATTTTCAACACTACCCAAACACATTGCTACAAACTTTTCCAATTGAAATTACCTGAGGTCGAGAGTCAGTGGACAGAAAGGATGAACAAGCATCACTTATCTGTAGAAAGCAAAAATGTCATTTAGTATCTGGAAATACAGAAAAAAGCAAAAATCAGAAAGATTTTTATTGTCACCTATGTGACAGTAATCACATTTCCAAAACATCTTGGGACTCTGGGTTTGGAAGAGAGAAGACTCTAAGCTTTATAAGGAAGTCTTGGAATTGGGATTTGCCTCTCCTAGCAATAGGATTCTATGTCACCAATAATAGTTGATAGAGATCAAGGACACTCCATGGTCAAGGGCAAGAACTTCTACTATTATTTAACCTAAGAAATGTGAGAAGTGACCAGAGAGTGGCCTTGTGTGCAGTTTCTTATCATACACAAATCTAATGTCACCTAATTTAACATAATCATTGCATGTTAATGTAGCATACAGGAAAAACCAAGGAAACATTACCAATCTACTAGTTCTCTACTATGAGACCAGCACTTGGTAAGAGTTCTATTTTACAGTGAATATTTATTGAACTACAGTCAGCAGTTAGCTGTTCTCAACCTTCATACTACAGAAAAAGTTTTGGAGATTTCAAACTGTAGTATAAGAGATTTATATCAATCATAAAAAGTTTGCTGAGAAGTTGAACAATGATTTGGATACATGGAGTTGTTTGTGGCATTTATTGCTTCAGTGACCTTTTAAAATGGGATTGGAAAAATGGTGATCTTTGTGTCTGGAGTGATTTGGGTTGAGTTTTATTTATGATATAAACTCTCAGAAGCCCTTTCCAGTTCCAGAATTCTTCGTCAACTCATTTAGTTTAATTTGTATTCTCACACCAAACCAAAGGGAGGGAACTTTTATACTTTTTAACTCATAATTTGTCAAGCTTCTTATGGCTTTCAAGTTGACCATGAAGGCCAGGTGTGGTAGTGGAGTACAGCTGTAATCCCAGCACTTGGAGGCCAAAGCACAGGATCACTCTACGAGTTTGAGGCAATCTGGGCTACAAAGTGAGTTCAAGGCCAGCCTAAACTGCATAGTGAGACCCTGACCCCAAAAGATCAAAAAACAAAACAAAACTGGCAGCCAAGTTGACCATGTTCTAAAAATACGATTCTTTAAAGAATTAAAGAAGTAGAAGACATTACAGAAAAGCATAAGATTATGTTTTTCTCCTTCTTATCTTCACAGAACTTGTCATCTTCTCTGTGTACCTCAAATATTTGGGGGATACTTGGATATGCCACTTATTCCTTGTGTCTATCTACCTGTTCCTTTATGCTATTCAAACAGAATCATGAATGCAAGGACACACACACACACGCACAAACACACAAATTACTTGAGGCAAGGGCCATTTTATACAAGATTCACCCAGAATAAGTACCAATAAAATTATTTGTTTTTTGTATTTTTTTTAGGGAAGGAACTACATGGTGTTCGGGTCTCACTACTAGATTGGACTCAGTGATCTGCCTGTTTATAGCCTCCCAAGTGCTGGGATTACAGGAGCACACCACCACACCCAGTCTCAAAATTCTTTAATTAAATTTGTGAGAAATAAAATAAAAAGAGAAAAGAGCAGTCAACTGAAAGGAAAAGCCAAAAGATGCCTATTTCTCTTTTCTTCTGTCCAAGTGTTTGAACCCATTCTACCACTGACTTACAGCCTTGATTTATTATGATTATGATTATGATTTATTGTTGTTATTGTTGTTATTTTGAGACCATCTTGCTAAGTTGCCCAGCTGTTCCAAAATTTGATTCCTTTGCTTCAGTCCCCCAAATAGCTGGGATCACAAAAGCAGGTGTCCTTTTAAGTACTGAATTTTGACCAGTTCTTACTTACTACATTGCCTCCAACTATACGGTCTCTGACTTTAGTTTTTTTTTTTTTTTTAATGTTTTATTTACTTATTTATGATGTGGTACCAGGAATCGAATCTGGGTCCTTGCATTTGTGAGGCAGGCATTTAGACTGCCAAGCTATCACGCCAGCCCCTATATGATCTCTATTCCATAGGATAGGAGGAAGTAGTTTTTTTTTTTTTTTAATTTTTTTAAGTGCAGAGTCTATAGGGTCTCACTGCACAAGTCTGATTTGCAGTGACCCTCCTATTTTCAGCTTCTCAAGCACTGGGATTGCAGGCCCTCGCCACCATACCCAGCCTCATTCACCGTCTCAGCGCGCCGCAGGGACGGGGCTGGCACAGCAGCCTGGGGAAGGAAGTAGTTCTTCCTGAAATATTGATATATTAAGTTATCTGAAGACATTATACTCTCAAAGAGAATGTCATCCACCCACAAATGGGCCCATGTCCAAGGACATGGATGCATTGAACCTCAGTTGTGATTAATTAATGCATCAACAGAGTTTGAAGAAAAACATTAGAATTTTAAAAGCCTAATTAATAAAATTAGGAGGTCATTGCAAAGCTCTCAGGTCTTTGTTCTCATGCCTTTAAAAGGCACAACAATATACTCAACTGCTTTCCATTTGAGTAAGCATTTGTTCCTTTTACTCAGCTTACTGGTCTAATGATTTTGAGTGCCACTAGCTGCTTTTTGAGATCTCTGTACAGGACAATGGTGAATCTAATAGTTACGTCTTTGTATATGACTGGAAAAGTTTGTGTTTTAGTGTCTGAAGAACTCTGTAATTTTTCAAACCTCCAGGTTACAGAAATGCGAAACTTGTTTTGAGCATCTTAACTTCTTTAAATATCTTTTGTTCTGTAAAAGAAATTATAGTGCTTTTATAGCTATTTGAGTTTCCTTCCAGCATTATCATCTAAAATACTTTTCCAAAGATTTTCCACAGAAACAGATGAGTTCAAGCTAAAACAAATATTTCTGCACTATGTATTAATATCTGCTGTCTCAATTAATTTCTATCTTGTTTTATATTTTTAGCATGTACCAAAGCAGAGATTGTTATAATAGACTGTGAATTTCCATACTATTTTTTTTTCTATTTTGCAGTACTGGGGATTGAACTCGGGACCCTGCGCTTGCCAGGCAAGCACTTGTTCTACTAAGCTATCTCCCCGAATTTCCACACTATTAAAGAGTATTTAGTGCACGAGACCAATAATCATTCTTGTCTTTTGCCTTATGTTGATGGTGGCCCAGGTGCAAAGAGTAATTTCAGTTCATAGCACATTATCATCCTTAGCTTTTATTTATTTGTTATTTTAATGTGTCCACCCCATCCATTCCATCTTTCCACAGGCAACTCTTCCAGTGTATTTGATGTGTGTCCTCCTTTTGTATATATTGTGGTTTTTTTTTT